GCTGTTTTGGAAATACAAGTCCCATGAGGCATTGCAAGGCTCTGACAGCCACAGACATAACTCCCAGAGGCAGATGCATGTTGGGAGTTGTAGTTTTGGCACAGCTGGAGTGCCAAGGTTCGCCACCACTGCTATATTGTATTATGAGCAAGCAAATGCGTATCCTATATTTTATTATGAACAAGCAAATGCGTATCCTATATTTTATTATGAACAAGCAAATACGTATCCTATATTTATTATGAACAAGCAAATGCGTATTCTATATTTATTATGAACAAGCAAATGCGTATTTTATATTATGAGCAAGCAAATGCGTATCCTATATTTTATTATGAACAAGCAAATGCGTATCCTATATTTTATTATGAACAAGCAAATACGTATCCTATATTTATTATGAACAAGCAAATGCGTATTCTATATTTGTTATGAACAAGCAAATGCGTATTTTATATTATGAGCAAGCAAATGCGTATCCTATATTTTATTATGAACAAGCAAATACGTATCCTATATTTATTATGAACAAGCAAATGCGTATTCTATATTTGTTATGAACAAGCAAATGCGTATTTTATATTATGAGCAAGCAAATGCGTATCCTATATTTTATTATGAGCAAGCAAATGTGTATCCTATATTTATTATGAACATTCAAACTAAGGGCCAAACTAAATCCCCATTTTACTTCCTATAGTCTTATTTTAACCCCTTAGTGACCGATGCCTTTTTTTAGTTTTTTGTACCCATGATATAATCCACATTTTAGGCCTGAAAATGACTTCAACCCCCCACACATTAACTATTTTCTGGAAGCCAGGACTGTGTAGAATAAAATATTGGCAGTTTAAAATTTTTATGTTGCACAATATTAGCGCAACGTATTATCAAACCCCAAAATGTAGTGAAAAATGCCCTTAAGTGCCCCAAAACACAATAAAATACCCATTTTTTAAATAAAATATAAAAGATGAGTTTACAACGAGTAAATGGATATCCAACATTCCCATGTTTAAAATTGTGTGCGTCAATGAAACTGACAAAAATCAGTACCCCAAAAAGTCCATAGATGACGCTTTAAAAGCCCCCACAGGTGATCAGTTTAGAGATACACATAAATACTGGCCATAGAATTATTGCTCTCACTCCGGCGTGCACGCCGATACCCAACATGTGTAGCGCGTTCGTCATTTTCATATGTAGGCGCACCCGACTACTGTTTACGTGAAGACGTGTGTCCTTTTAAAAAATATATTTTTACATTTATTTCATTTAATATTAATTTAAAAAACTTGTTTTAACTTTACTTTAATTGATACTATTATTATTATAACATAGTATTTATATAGCGCCAACAGTTTGC